AGCTATGATTCAGGGAATATCCTGGACGAGCCCCCACTTATCTTACAAGCCCCTTGCATGTAAAAAGCCTAGGAGACACAGTGAGTGTAACATAAAGTATAGGCAGTACTAACTATAGACTGAGCCTCCGAACAAACCTAAACATGTGTCAAAGGAATTTATTTTACAAATTTACGGTGGAGTATTTATAATTATACTACATTATTTAACATAAATAGGCAAGAAAAGAAAAAAGGAAAGAAGTTAAAGCCAGGGTCTCCAAGACCAAAATAAGCAACAAATAACCCGACTCTTTAGAGAGTAAAGAAACACATATTTCTAGGTTAAAACAAAAAAATACTAAATACAGATAAACTCCCTGGCTGGCTACAAAACAGGAGAAAAATGTGCATAAACAAAAACGGTAGAGAACTCCTCATCTAGCTGCCACTAACAAGTAAAACACTTTACAGACACTTTTTACTGGGGCTATATACAAAGTTACACACAAAGATCTGAATACTGTTCAGCTGTGGCAGTCAGGTGTGGGAAACCTGGAACAAGAAACCTGCAGATTTTAGATCTCACCCTGGATCAACACACCTGAATCACATGATTAGTTCATTACCAGGCCTCTGGAGAACTTCAGGACATGTTGAGAAGGTAATTTATCCATTTAAATCAGTTGTGATGGATCAATATAAACATATCTCAAACCTGCAGGGACACCGGCCCTCGTGGATTTGGACTGGGACCCCTGACGTAACCGATTTGAATTTAAATTGAAACACTGGTTTGAATCAGAGCTCCTGTGGTTGGCAATGCGGTGCAGTGGGACCGATTTTACACCGGATGATTTTCTGCCACCTCTCCCATATGATCTAGCTTTGAACTGGAATGAGAGTACACTGGTGTCGCCCCCCCTCCCGTGGATGAATTAATGGATATGGTATAAAGTCATTAAAATTCATAGAATGAGTGTCAGGAACAGAAGTGAAACTGTCAGAAAGACACTGCAAACATGATCAATTATCATTTAAAAAAACTTCTTACTTCAGGACTTTATACACACAGTGACCACAGGATTGTGCTACACACACACACACACACAAATAAGACTGGCAGCAACGCAATTATCATTTATCAGTCCCACCTGCCTCAATACAAGTCAGCATTAAAACAACTCTTCTAATACATATCGATTATAGGAACGTTAAAAAAAGACTATTAGTACAGATTTCCTATTATAGAACAATAACCATTTATGAAACTTTTTTCTGGTGAAAGCACTACATGTTCATGTGTCACACCTTATCAGTCATTCAAAGAATGCAACATCTGGGGCTCAAGGTGTCCCCGAAACCTCCAACAGGCTCATTTTTTAGTTTAGTTTAGTATTCGCTTCCACCTAGCAGACCTGCTAGGCCTCACCTTCGCTATTTGAAGTCACTGAACTGAACCTCATAACTCTGCTTGTGCTGTATTTACAGAGAGTTCAATAGATCTGTGCTTCTTTCAGATATTTTAGTTCTAGTTTAAATGTTTTTATTAGTTTGTCCTTTAATTAGGTCACACTTGTCTCGGTGCTCTGCAGTGTTAGTTTAAAATAGTTGATAGGTCTTAAATCCAGTAGTCCCACCAGTGGTGACCGCCCCACTGTCTGTCTGTGGTAGAAAACTTAAGAAAAGACATACCAATTTAGATATTTAGTAACAAGTATTAAAGAATTTAGTGACAATGCTTTACATTACCACATTATAGAGAACATGATTTTAGTATTGCATTACTTTGGAATACTTTATACCCAACGCTGTCAAGTTGTATTTGCTGTGAAACAACTGTCATAACAAATAATAGTGTATTACTGTACAAAATTTTCTGATTTTACAACCACTGTCAGGATAAAGGATTTAATATTCATTCCCTTGGTTACTCTTGGTTACCAGTCATTGCTTAAAAAAAAACACAGTATAACCCCGACTGACTCAGTACATTAAATTAGTCATACAAATGTGTCTGCAGGAAGCACTCAAAGTCTTTACTGTAGTCAAGGTAACACCCTGCAGACAAAAACTGACCAAACAGGATCAAACATCTCACGAGTCTCAGTCACCGCAGCCCTTTGTGTGCTTCATCTTATCACTCATTCTCAGTTGCACAAAAACTTGAAAGTATATGACAAATTCATAAAAAAGCCCAAATGCAACATAACTGAAAAGAAAAATGCAGCAAAACAAAAGCCATTGATCCAAACTACATGCAAACATGTACTGTAGCTTGAGACATTAATGACTTTGGGTGTTTTTATCATTTTGCACCTCTCTGGCCGTGCATACAATTGGTAAACTGGCCACATTTAGTCATTCACGCAGCCCTGATGAAAGGTGCTGCTATAAATACTTTCAAGATACTGTAGAAAGGTTACTAAAGTAAAGTAATAATTACATCATGATGCTTAAGTAACAGTTAAAAATATGCATAATATGAAATATGCTTGTAGCATTCGTTATACAGAAAAAAATAGTGCTGTCAAAATTAATGCGTTAATGCAGATTAAGCCATTATCACGATTAACGCGATACAAAAATGTAACACTATTAACGCATCTGGAGAGCAGAATGACTCAAAATCCCTGAAATGTTTCTGTCAACGCATTTCGGGCAGTTTGTCCAAGTAGTCGTGGGCAGCTGAACTGATCAACTCAATATGGAAGATGATAAACGCACATTAGCCCTCTCGATGGGAAATTTGAGTATTAAAATAATAACAAGGCGGAACAGTCGACCGACAGAAAGTATTATGCACATTTGCACAAAGTTGATTCTGTTCATCTGGATGTAGCGTTTTCAGTGGGAGAAACGTTTTGTCACTCATCCAAGTGACTTCTTCAGTCTCAGCTGACTGCAGGTTTCCCCAATCTTATAAACAGTACATTTGCATAATGACTGAAACCAGCCCACTGAAGGAACGCTACGTCCAGATGGACAGAATCAACTTTTGGAGATTTACCTACCTGGACGATTGAGCATGTATCAAGAAGATAAAGAAGAAATTTTCTTTTCACCGAAGCACCTTAAAATATCACATTCATGCGAAGCATATTTTAGCTAGGGATGCTAATAGCACTTTGGCTAAGGCGTCATCCAGCTTGCGACAAACCACTCACAGAGCATCGGGGACTCTGTAAGTCTACCTCGGACATATTGATTGACACAATGCCAAATGGATTGCAACAAACTGCAGACCTATTGCTGAGAACATGTACTTTACTTAGCTTTGGTTCCTCGTCTCAAGGACTTGAAGTGCTGGCCACCTGATGCGGACCTTGTGTAAATTACTGTAACGTAATAGACTTGTAGTCGCCTAAACCAAGACCAAGACAAGACCAGAGGGTATCGAGACCAAGACAAGACCAAGACCAAAACAGACCGTGTCAAGACCAAGACAAAGTCAAGACGAGACCGAGACCGAAACAAAAAAGTCTTTAAACTGCAGCCAGGTGCTGCTTCGTTTACGGGTGTCAGGCATATTTATGTGTTTTTGTCTACTGTCTCACTCATTTACTGAGTGACTCACTTGGATCCGAGACCAAGACCAAAGTCCGTTGAGACCAAGACAAGACCAAGACCACGTAAAAGTGGTCTCGAGACCTCCAAATCTACTACGTAAACAGAGCGAACATGAGAGCACCCGACTGCAGATGTCAGTAATGCAGTGTAATGGAGTAATCTCCCAATCTTAAAGTTATAAACTGCCTCCGCAACCCAGTTAAAGTACAAAAAAACCTATTCAACAAAAATAGTGATGCAGTTCAGCCTTTTTTTGTTCATCCGAGCCTCTCTGTTGCTGTGTGGAGCAGCCCGTGTCAGTCACCTCTTTCACATGTCACTCACTCATTCGGTGATGTACTGCGGTCTCATAAGGAAACTCAGCTTTTTGATTAAAAGTTTTTCCTTGTTCCCGAATACAAATATTTTTTGAAGTATTTGTTCGAAATAAGTATTCGTAAAAAACACGTTTTTTGTGCCTTTCAAAGCTGGATAGCGTAGTGGTAAAACTACACATCTTTGGAGCAAACGATCCATCGCCTGGATCAACAAGGTCCGTGTCAGGTGGCCTGACGAGAAGTGTGCTACTAGAACAAGAAGGCATCGGTGGGCAAGAGATAAAAAATAGGGTGTTGTTGGAATGCTGCTATGCAAGTAACCCTGGCGGTTACATGAATAGGATGAGGGACCTATGGAATCTTTGATACCCAACATCCACATTGACGGTGAAATAACTAGTAGCTCAGTGTTCCAACATTCAAAAGAAGGGATTGCTCTCACAGCTGGAGATTGACGAGGTACAACACAAATGTTATGGCAAGGGCGAGCCAGGACAAACATCTATGAATACATCAAGAAGATGGCCCCAACTGACTGGGTGGGTTGTAAGATTCTAGCAGGTGGGGCATACATGGAACACCATAACCAAGTGGCTGTCCTCGAGCTAAGATCCTGTGGGACTTCCAGATACTGATGGACAAAATGGTGGTGGCTAACCAACCTGACATAGTGGTGGTAGACTAACAGAAAGAGATGGCCGTAGTGATAAATGTAGTGGTTCTGAATGTCAGCAACACTATAAAGAAGGAACACAAGAAGCTCAAGAAATACCAAGGGCTCAGAGAAGAGCTCGAGAAGATGTGGAGGGTGAAGGTAACGGTGGTCCCAGTGGTAACTGGAGCACTAGGTGCAGTGACTCCCAAGCTAGGCGAGTGACTCCAACAGATCCCAGGAACAACATCGGAGATCTCTGTCCAGAAGAGCGCAGTCCTGGGAACAGCTAAGATACTGTGCAGGACCCTCAAGCTCCCAGATCTCTGGTAGAGGAGCTTGAAGGATAGACTGCCCGCAAGGGTGGGCGGGGAACTTTTTTTTTTACCATTTCTTATTGGTCACTTTGTGCTCCATTTCTATTTGGTTCTCATTGTTTTGCACCTCTTATTTGTACTTTTGCATGTTTATGCAGTGATTCTGCTTTTGTATTGTCATTCTGCAATTATTTGTTGGGTCACAGCAATCTGTAATCCCTCTTTGTGTTTTTAGTCATAATATGTGTCTGAATGTGAACTGCTGGGCTGATGGACTGGTAACTTTTCTGCTTTCTCACTTCCAGTTTTTGCATGTTGGGACAGGCTGCAGATTCAAACATCAAGGACAAACAAATATTTAAACATCCAGACCTTTAAAAAAGGGTGTGTTGAATTCATTTGTGTCCATGAATCATGAAACTGTTGCAAGAATGTTAAATCTCCTGTGAAGAGACAGACTGTGGAAAACCCCCCAAAGAAAAGCAGAATTTCATGTCAGCTGCAAAGATGGACCGGTTTGAGTGGTTTAAGGATCGTGAGGTTTTGGGTGCAACTCTTTACTCATTACCAGACTCTCAGGTACGTGTGAAGTGATCGCATACTGTTTGATTAAAAGCACAGTAAAGGCACGCCCACTTAACTGAAGCTCGTGTGTTAGGTGTGACAGAGAGGGCGTGGCTTTAAACTCATCTCCAAATCGAAGTCCGACCTGTTTTCAGAGGACTCTCTGCCATCCTGTGTGTGTCACCTAACGCGAAGTAAGTGCTCATTTCTGCAGGTGTTTTTGTCAGTTTGTGAAATTAGTGAATACAGATATTTAATAGGGACTTTTTGGCTATATGTAATGTTTCATGTTTACCTTCATCTTCAGTTCATATTCCAGTGTTTATTTCAGCAGGACAGCTAAAACATTTCATGACAGAGCTTTGCTGCACTTTGCACGGCTCACACTTGTTTCTCTTGTAGCCGTTACCAGCAGTCGCCACCATGGCTGAGAATGCAGAGGCCCACTCCGCCACTCTTACCACCAATCGCAACTGCACCATGGAAATCACCAACATCACCACCGCCTACTGCCTCGTCAACCCAAAGTAACAGAGCCCAAACTATTTCTCTTTTACTCCAGCATAAAGTATTTGATTTCTTTGCTTATGCAGGAGAGCATTTATTGTTTGCAGTTAAACAAAAAAAGACATTTATCTTTTAAAACCTCAATTTCAATGCCCGTGTGATGCAACATTATCAAACGTCAGACAAAAAGACCCGTCTATCACTCTTTAACACAAGTTATTTCTGCCGCCATCATTTGTTACTTTGTATCCTTGTGGTTTCTTGTGTCTGCGTTTTAATTGTAACCAATATTTTTTACTGATGTGTAAAAAATGGCCAGAATGATATTTGCATGTCCTTTGATATTTAAACATTAGTCCTGTTGAGTCTGTAGTTGATGAGCTTGCACCACCTCCAGCAGCGCCAGAGTTAAATGTCTGATGGCATCAACAGTCAGGAGGATATTGCACAGTTGACTGTTTTTACATCGAGGTGCATTAATAAACCTTTGCCCTCCTTCCTTTCAGGGTTCACATGGAAAGTGGCTTCGCCCACAGCCCTCCGCAGCCCACTGTGCGCACCACTAAGACAGAGGTGTGCTCTTTCACCAAGGATGACAACACAGCATCAGGTGCTGCGGGTGTGCTGACCTACGACCTGTTTGACATGCGCAACCGCCGCTGCGATGGCATTGTGGCCATCATGTTCTCCGTGCCGTTCGACTACAACTTCTACAAGAACTGGCTCGGCGTGGGTGTCCTTGATAAATCGAGAGCTGTCGACAGTAAGTTGTTCAACTACATGTACAACGAGAAGAACTGCAGCGACTTTGTCCGCTACGAGGCCAAAGGCTCAGGGCTGCTGTTCAGAGGCAATACGGTGGATGTGAGGGCATGTATGTCCGATGAGGGCAAAGCTATTGTTAAACTGGAGCTGTATGACAGGATGGGCTAAAGAGTCCGGTTGTATTATAATGAGAATAAAATGTTCGCAAACAAATGTGTCGAGTGTATTTGCTGATATTCCTGAAAACCAAAGTGCAAGTTGTCATCCTTATGATTTAGAGGTGCTTTAAACAAATAAAAAACAATTCAACTGAGTTGTTGTCCTCTGTGTTTCTTTGTTCAATCGAAAAATAAATTGTTGGACGTGACTTCAAATGTTTGCATGCAAAAGTGAATAAAAATGTAGCTAATCATCCCAGCCTGTGACTTGTCCCACTATTTTCCAGTTATTTACTGTGGAATTTCTTCTAAAGTTAGGGTTTAAGTTCACTGCTGACGACACTTCCTGCTTACTAATGGTACGACGGAACAAAAGAGTATAAAACTGCAAAAAATACTATAAGTATTTTAAAATAATGAGTGTTTTAAAAGAGAGGAAAAGGGAGTCGGGATCATCATTAGTTCTTTCTCAAATTGTAGTCTTTACTTTTATCTTACTATCTAACTTATTATCTCATCCTTAAGATGT